AGAACCTGTGACTATGTTACCTTACACGGCGAAAGGAATTTTGCAGACATGATTAAGGATCTTGGATGGGGAGCTTCTCTTGGAGCATCCAATGTAATCGCAAGAGTCCTTATAAGAGGGAGGCAGGAGATCAGAGAAGAGAGATGTTATGCTGTTAGCTTTGAAGAGGGAGGAAGGGGGCCACAAGCCAAGGAATGCAAGGAGCCTCTCTCTTTGCTGGAAAAGGCGAAGAGAAACAAATTCTCCCCTAGAGCCTCTAGAACATACGCAGCACTGCTGACCCGTTTTAGACTTCTGAGCTCAGAACTGTAGGATAATAAATTTGTGTTGTTTTAAGTCACTAAGTTAATAGTAATTTGTTACAGCAGCAATAGGGAACATTTAGTTTGGTTTGTTTTTTAGGTAAGAGAGGCTTCAGCATGTTTACATACTAAAGACAGAACAGAAGTGAAGCTCTGAAGGCAAAAGAGAAAGAGATTTTGTATTTTTGATAATAAAATTGAAAAATAAATTTTGGAATAAAAGTTTAGATTTATTCTAGTATCCCAGAAGTTCTGCCTATGATTTCTGGCTGAATGCTGAACAAATGAAGTTCACCAGGAGACGGGAAGAAATGGAATGAAGAGCACAGGTGTAAGAATTAGTCTTGGAAAGGAAGATGAAGCCTTCTTCCACTAACACAGAAAGGGAGAAAAGGAAGGGTATCTATTCTGGTAAGCATAAGATGAACTGAGCAGGGTAATTTACTTACTGGAATTGTCTCCTAGGGTCAGAGGTTTCATTTACTGAGGAACTACTATGAGCAAAGCATCAAATACTTGCATAAATTTTTTTTCTAAAATGTTGCAAGATGGAAATTATCCACACTTGACAAGGGAAACAGTGCCAAAACTCTTAGGATTCATACACAAATCTGTTTGACTCAAAACACTATCTTGAGAAATCTGGCAGACAGCACCATAACCAAGTGATCAAGGTTAACACCACCAGTAATAAGACATATCAACATCACGCATGCCTTGATACGAAGTAGTGAGAGGATACATCACCCCTGTGGTATTCCTCTGCCCAATAATGCAACACCTTTATCCAATCACAAGAACACATCAAACAAATTGAGGGGTATTCTACAAAACAAATGACACGTACTCTTCAAAGTCTCACAGTTATGAAAGGCAAGGAAAGACTGAGGAAGTGTTACAGATTGAGGGAGACCAAAGAGATCTGACAAAGCAGTATGGGATTCTGGATTACAAAAAGAAGGGCATTAGGTGTTAACACTGGTGAACTCAGAATAAAGTCTGTTATTTAGTTAATAGTGTTGTACCAAAATTAATTTCTTAGCTTTGATCATTGTACTATGGTCTCAAAATTACAGTTAAAAAAAACCCCAACACTGTACCACACTGCTTCTATAGGAGCAAGCCACTCATTTATCTATGGGTCTAGCTTTTAGTCTATTCAAGATTAATTCACGCAGCTTGAAAGCCTAGGTCAGGCTCTGACTGGTGGTTAAAATAGCACGTATGGTGTTCCTGAAATGCCTGGCATCCTGGTCCTGACTCCTGATCTAGACTGATCTCTGACTCTTGCCTAGTCCTTATCACACATTCTGAAATACTGCACCTAATCCCTGATCCCAGTCTCTAAAATAATCTGCTCATTGGAAGAGCATCTGAGTGAGGACAGGGGGGTAAATCCAGAGGGTGCAGGATATATTAGATAAGCCAGCAAAGTAACCTCAGAACACAGTGTATTGGTAACTATCATCTTCTCTCTCACACACTCACTTTTCACATTTGCAAATACATCTTCATAAAACATAAACAAGAGGAATTTCAATAGGAGCAGCACAGCCTAAAACTTAAAAAAATGACAGAACAATATATCATAAAAGCACAAAATTTGATATATTTTTTAAATCAGCTTGCTCACCTCTCATTTATTCCAGTAAATGGAAATATTTGCTAATATTTGCTTTAGGATGATTACTGCTAAGGAGTGATCAAACTACATACAATATTTTGCAAATATTTATTCAGCCACTATTATGAACCAGGCATTGAACAAGGGTACTTAAAAGATAGGTGTAATCCAACTTGTTTTTAAGTCCTTTGACAGTTAACACTATCCACATTGAGAGATGTTTAGCTAGGTCCTTTATGTTAGGCCATAATCTAGATCAGCCAGGTCCGACAGAAATATACTGCAAGCCACATACCTAAATTTACACTTTCTAGTTTAAATTTTCTAGTAACTGCATTTTCAAAAAGCGAAAATAAAAGTTGGAATTAATTTTAATATATTCTATGTAACCCGATATATGCTCAAGTTATCATTTCAACGTGATAATCAAACTAAAAAAAGACTGATATTTACCTTTATTTTCTTTTTGCATAATAAATCTTCGAAATCCACTTTGTATTATACACTTATAGCATCTCGATTAGGACTAGTCATATTTCAAATGCTCAACAGCCACACGCAACTAGTCACCACCCTATGGACAGCACAGATCTAGATGCTACTTACTAAAGAAGAAAATACACTCAGTTATAGGGTTAAATCTCAATTCTGCTTTACTAATAAAATCCAGTTATCTGTTCTACTTGGAAATCAATACATTCTCCTTTCTCTGAATTCTGTCTTTTCTTTAAACACTCATCCCAGAGAATATACTAGAGTTGCTAAGAGAAGCAAACACAAAGAGTGATTAAATAAATTGAAAACTTCTTTGGGAGTGCAAGCTTTTTGAGTGTTTTTAGTTAAAAGGACACATGTTATTGTGCCCTCTTCCAGAGATAAAATACATTTTTATTGTTATTTTTTTGAGAGGAAGATCAGCCCTGAGCTAACATCCATGCTAATCCTCCTCTTTTTGCTGAGGAAGACTGGCTCTGAGCTAACATCTATTGCCAATCCCCCTCCTTTTTTTTTTTTTCCCAAAGCTCCAGTAGATAGTTGTATGTCGTAGTTGCACATCCTTCTAGTTCCTGTGTGTGGGACGCAGCCTCAGTATGGCCGGAGAAGCGGTGCGTCAGTGCGTGCCCTGGATCCCAACCCGGCCGCCAGTAGCAGAGCGCACGCACTTAACCGCTAAGCCACCAGGCCGGCTCCCATAAAACACATTTTTAAAAAGCCAACATAGAGAGAAACATAACGGGCCATCTACTATGAATGGCCCTCAAGTCTTGGTAGAGACTGCAATCAGACCAGAACATGATTAAAACAAATAAATCAGAGTCTACATACCCAAACACATCTTTGACTCTTAGAGTCCATCATATGGCTTATATTTAAAACATCTAAATACAGTTAAAAGTTAATAATGGAGAAAGAATTTCAAAAGTTTCATTTAAAGCAAATTTCTTTTCCAAATGTAGACATTTTTCCTTACAATATACAAGTTACAAGTATAGTTTTTCAGATTCATTCTTTAAAGGATAGTTCATCCTTACTACAAATACTATGTTTGAAATGCTAATGATTAAAAAAACCGAAAAACTTTGCTATAATTTATTCTTGGCCTAATTCCAAAGTAGAACTATGAAAAGTCATTATTATTTACAAAGAGTAACAAACTTCAGCTTTCTTTATGGGTTGAGCTGCTCAATTTTAAAAGCACCATTTTCACTGACTCCTTCCTAGCCCGGTGCCTGGCACATGGTGTTTTCTCAGCAAATATTTGTTAAGAAATCAATGAATACCAAGTAACATGCACTGAATATTAATACATCTAGCATTTCAAAATTAAACGTTAAGAAGTGGCCTCAAGGCTTAATGAGGTTCCATATGAAAACTGAAGCTACACTACAGTTAAGAACACACTTTGCTTCCATTACTTTCATGTAATACAACACTCATAAGGGGTAGACACTACCACCCTCGTTTACCACAGGAGGAAGGTGGGGCCGCAAGTGGTTAAGTCATGTAATTATCAAGCAGTGGAGCCAGATTTCAAGCCCAAGTCCTCAAACAAAACAGTGTGTGTGCATGTCTGTGCGTATGTATGTGTGTGATGGAAAATGACCTATGGATTTTATGAAATCTCTGTCCCATGTTTCTCTATTTTTAAAAAAATTTCCATTACAAAAGCTTCAGAATAAAAACACACAACGGATAGTTTCCAATTCCACACACACAGAATCCACAACTTTTTAAGCAATTCGAACCCCTTTCATGTACAGCAGCAATAAGCACTGTTGACGAGAACTTAGCGCACCCGGAGAGGAGGGTTGCGCTCTCCTCTCTCGGCGACCCTGGGACGCAGGGGACAGACTCGTATCGTAGCTCAGCACCCAGCTGTCCCCGCTCCCAGGACCACGCCACTGGCCCAGCCCACCTGACGGCCCCCCAGCGCCAGACCCAGCCCACACGACGGGGCCCCCAACACCAGACACAGCTCACCCGACGGGCACCCCCAATGCCTGACCGGGCCCACTCAGCTGACAGGCCCCCCAGCACCAGACTCAGTCCACCCACCCGACGGGCCCCCAGCCCCAGACTCGATCCACCTGACGGCCCCCCCAGAACAAGACCCAGCTCACCCGACGGACCCCCACCCCATGTCTGACCCAGCCCACCAAGCCTATGAGCCCCCAGCCCCAGACTCGGTTCATCCGACGGGCCCCAGCACCAGACCGGATCCACATTACGGGCCCCCAGCGCTAGACTGGGTCCACCCACCCGACGGGCCCCAGCACCCGACCCGGTGCCCTCACCCGACGGGACTCCAGTGCGGGCCGGGTCCACCCACCCGACGGGCCCCCAGCACCGGACCCGGTCCACCCGCCCGACGGCCCCCAGCGCGGGCCCGGTCCACCCACCCGACGGCCCCCAGCACCTGACCCGGTCCACCCGCCCGACGGCCCCCAGCACCTGACCCGGTCCACCCACCCGACGGCCCCCAGCGCGGGCCCGCTCCACCCACCCGACGGGCCCCCAGCACCCGACCCGGTCCACCCGCCCGACGGCCCCCAGCGCGGGCCCGGTCCACCCACCTGACCGGCTCACGCCAGCGCTGGACCCAGTCGCAGCAACTGGCCATCAGACTGAACATCCCAGGCCGCTCCTCCCGCCGCCCATCCGAGCCCGGCTGAGTGCGGGGCCGCCGCCGGCCCGAGGCCTGTGAGGCGGGGAGGCCGGACGAGAGCCCGGCGGGGAGGCGAAGGCGCTCCTCCGAGCTCGCGGCCGTGACAACCCGGCCGGCCGCAGGCGGAGGCGACCGCCCCTCTCCCGGGAACACCGGCCACAGCGCAGAGGCGCAGCCGGAGCAGGGGTAGCGGGCCAGCGGAGAAAACCCGCATCGACGTGCTGACGTTTCCCCGGCGCGGAAGGCCCGCCCCCAGCACCGCCCATGCACTGCTCCAATCAGCGCTCGAGGATCCGCGGTGCCGGCCTCTGAGCGGCTGAAAGGGCTCGGCTCGGGGGCGTGGCCTACCAGGAGGTAGAGCTCAGGGGAGGTGGAGCTCGGAAGAGGCGGCTCTCGTAACTAGGCAACCCGAGCGTCCCGAGAGGAGCTGAGGGATCTGGGACGAGTCTGGCAAGGCTCATCTGTACGCCCATCCAAAACGTGTTGCCAGCCGAGGTGCTGCTCCTCGTCTGTATCCAACCACAGCTGAGATCCAAAGACCTCCGGTCTTGTGCGGGTTTGGTTTTGTCTTATGCAGCACGGATGGGGATCCTCTGGGATTCCGGCGGACTCTGGCTGCACAACTACAGAAACAATACACTGGGGCAATTATTGTAAATTAAGGACAAGGGAAAAACTAATTTGCTAACTACCTCAATAGTTCAGGTGAGAGCGACGTTTTAATATGTATAATGTTTATTGCTCTTTGTTACAGACAATGTGAAATGAAATTGTACAATATTTATTGTGTGTAGGATGATTATGATTACTAAAAAAAATGTTCATTGTAGAAAATGTGAAAAATACTAAAAAAGGAGCAAGAGGAAGAAAATAAGACCTCGCACTCACCACCTAAAGATAACCACTGTTAACGTTTTGATGTGAATTCTCTCCAGGCTTTTAGATACATAGATGCTAGCTATTTGGTTTCTGCAACATGCAGATCATGATCCACTGGCTGTTTTGTAACAGGTTTTATTTTATTTAAAGAGATATGTAATATCTGTATTTCTTTTTATATTCTTTGGAAAAGAAATGACAGGTACATTCCTATAGAAAAAAATGCATGAGTGATATGTAGGGACCTGTGTGTCCATTCACTTTCTACTTAAACATATATTTTAAATCCTGAGGAGAGAGGGCCCTGGGAAGCCAAGTGTACCTGGGAGAAAATAATAGTTTGGGACTAAGATCTAGATGTAAAATTATTCTCTATCATTTACTAACTCACGTAACCCTAAATCAAACACATAAATATCTCTTATAGCTTACTGTTTCTGATCCCAAGTACCCCATCTAAGATGAGAACGAAAATACCTACATTGCAGAGTTGCTAAGATGATGAAATGAGAGCAATAAAGCTCAAGTGCAATTTCTAACAAATAATAGATAGCAGGTTTTGAACTTGGTATCAACTGTCCCAGAAACATTTATGGCATGTATCCTCCCAACCTCTCTCCAAACTGCTAGGGGTCTTGTTCACTATTCTCATTGTCCTGCCGTGATAACTTCAGTTTTCTTTTCAATTGCTCAAGTCTGTATGGCCTCTACTGGTTTTCCTGACCGAACCTGCCCTTCCTCATCAGTGCTAGATGCTGCCTCTGCCCAGACTGCCCTGTCATACACTAAAATACCTCTATTATACAGTGCTGATGAAGAAAGTTAGATGATACCTTCACAATTTTTTTTCTCTCCCTATTATCCCTGTTTCTTCTCATTTTCTAATAGAGATGTACTTCCTCTTTTCCAAGATTAACCACTTTCCTGGGACTCTGACAAACATCCTTTTTCAACTTTTCTGAAACCCTGTTCCTTCAATTATTTCTTCTTGATCCAACATCTTAAATATATTCCTCCCCATTTTTCCCCTAGATCTTTGGCTACAATCTCCAGGGTGGAGTGGGGGTAAGAGGGCAGGGCAGGACAAGGCCACAATTCCCCCTTAACTATAAGCCATGTTAGTACTGTTCTGCTGACTTTAATTTCACAACCCAACTTCTTAAACTAGCGGTTCATAAACCCTAAAGCACTATTTTTGCTGTTTACTCTCTTTATCAATTTACTGTGATTGGGCTTCTGTCCCATCAAACTACTCAAAACATGTATTTTTTTACATATGACTTACTAATTACCAAATCAGTTCTCATTTTCTTTTGCATCACTTGATACATTTAATACAACCAACTCTTCTAAAACTCTTTCCTCCTTGGCTTTTCACAATTATGCACTATTCTGGTTCTCTTCTTATCTCGCTGGTCATTCTTCCTCCAGCTTCCTGTATGTATTCTCCAAGACCCGACCTTATCCCTCTGCTTTCCTGTTTAAAAACATGTTTTCTTGGAGAATCCAATTATTACCTCTGTGCCTTCCTATGTGGATGTTCCTTGACCATTTCTGCAACTTTACTCAACACCCTTGTTTTCCAAAATATACTCAACCCAGCTCTACTTCCTTGCTTCCCTGGTTCAGATAGCGACACATTACCAAACATTTCTGGTGCCAACATACAGTCATCAGTTAGTTAACTAAGTTGACTCTTAGTTTTCAATATATTAAGTGGTTTGGTAGACATAAGTGCTGCTCACTATTTCCAGTTCTCTTTTCCTTACAAGCATGTGAGATCCTTATTCCCACCCTCTTAAAGTCACGGGACTTGCTTTGTCCAGTGAAATATGAGTGGTAGTTGTTGTGTCACTTCTTGGTGGAAGCATTTAAAAGCTGGTGCACAATTCTCCATGTTCTGTCTTCCCTTGCGATGTTAAATGTGGAAGCCTTTGTTAACTTTGAAGTACCGTAAAATCAAAACAGCATGGAATGCTGAGCCCACGGAGGACAGCCACTTGGGATGGCCTACGGTGGACTTCCTATGAGTGAGAAGTAAACACTTGTTATTTCAGGCCACTCTACTTTTGTGGCAGTTTTACCACATTGTAATCTAGTTTATTCTGAATGAAGAAAACACTCTTGCTGCCATCATTCTTGTCAAGAATCTCATTTCATCTCCCAGGGATTGTTGAAACAGCATCCTAAATGTTACTTGGTTTCTTTTTTTTTCCTTCCAGCTTTATTGAAGTATAATTGACAAATAAAATTGTAATATATTTAAAGTGTACATTGAGAAATAATTCCCACAATTGAGTTAATTAACACATCCATCACCTCATATAGTTACCTTTTGTTTTTTTGGGGAGTGGGTATACTTAAGATCTACTCTTAGCAAATTTCAAGTATACAATGCAGTATAATTAACTACTGTATAGTCATCATGCTACACATGCATTAGATCCTCAGAACTTATTCATCTTATAACTGAAAATTTGTACCTTTGACCAACCTCTCCCCTTTTCCCCATCTGCCAGCCCCTGGCAACCACCATTCTACTCTCTGTTCTATGAATTTGACTTTTATTATTTTTTTAATTCCACATAAAAGTGATACCATATAGTATTTGTCTTTCTGTCTGGCTTATTTCACTTAGTATAATGTCCTCCAGTTTCATCCTTGTTGTCACAAATGCAGGATTTCCTTTTATTTTTAAGGCTGAATAATATGTACTTAGGTTGTTTCCATATCTTGGCTATTGTGACTAATGCTGCAAAAAACATGGGAGTACAGATATCTCTTTGAGATAGTGATTTTGTTTCCTCTGGATATATGCCCAGAAGTGGGATTGTTGGGTCATATAGTACTATTTTTAACTTCTTGAGGAACCTCTATAGTGTTTGCTGTAGTGGCTACATCAGTTTTAGATCCTCACCAACAGTGTAGGAGGGTTCCCTTTTCTCTACATCCTTGCCAACATGTTATTTGTTGTCTAAATGTTACTTGGTTTCTAATCTTTTCCTGCTCTAATCCATTTTGTAAACATTTAACAAGGTAACATTCTTAAAGTACAACCATGAAAATCACTCCCCTTTCTAAATCAAACATACAAAAAAACAAACAAATAAAACAAGACTAGTCCTCACTACCTGTGGTTTAAACAGTTTAGCCCTATTGTTAGTTTTCACCAAGCAAATATTAAAAGATTATTGTAGAAAAATAAAATATATAAATTGGCAAAAGGAAAACGATCCAAAATCCCACCACTGGAAATGATCGCTGTTGATATTTTGACATAAATATTCCCAAGCTTGCACTGTTAAATTGAATTTAGTTGAAAGATTATGTACCAGTCACTGTTCTAGGCACTAGGAATATAGTTGTGAACAAAATATTAAAAAATTCCTGCTGTCTTGGATCTTATATTCTAGTGGTGGGAGGCATGGAAAGGCAGATAATAAACATAATTAATAAGTAAATTAGACAATCTATTAGTAGAAGATGACATGGAGAAATGTAAAACTGGGTAGGAAATGGGACTAGCATTAGGACTGGGTATGGGATTAGATTAGGAGTTAAATTTTGGATGGGATTTAGTTGCGTATTTAGAAGCATACCGAAAACAAATTTTGGCCGAATAAGATTAACCAAGAATTCATTAATATTGAGCTAAAGCCAGATATCATCACAGGGTGAACTTCTGAGATAAATTACAAATCCAAAAATTTCATCCAAAGATTTATTATTAAATTTTAGTATTAAAATTTCAGTACATGATTTTTGAAAGTTTGACATTACAATGTAGGTGGGATACATAATTTTTTAGCACTGACAACTATTGCTGGCACTGTGATGCACATTTGTGGTATTAAAAAGATATTTATTTTCAGCTGAAAAGGATACTCAGTTTCAGCTGAAGTCGTTGGAAGAGCAAGATTTTTCTTTTAGGAACACGCATGTTTCTCTAACATTCCGTTCTCATGCTCTTTATATTCTTTTTTATGTCTGTGTCGGAGGTGATTTGTTATGAATATTGTTGATTCATGATTTTGGAGGTTTTCCCTCCTTGTGAAATTTTGAGATCTCAGAGTTGATATTCTACTCTTAGTTCTTCCTCACAAGATGAGGAGATTACCAAATCAAGCTTTTGGTTGAAAGACTCGTGGCCTAAATGCATTTAAATATTTAATAATTAAATATAGTACTTAGAGGTTATTTTGTTTAATGTTATGATTGCTAGCACACCAAACAATTCTACACTTGGGGCTGGGAATAGAGTGGTGAATAGACTAACATAGGAGAGTCAGACACAGCAAGAAGGAAGAGAATTTAAAATAGGAAAGGGCCCTAGATATATTTAATAATTCCTTTGCAAATGGTCTTATCAAAAAAAGTGACTCTATCAACTTCCATCCAGCTAGGTGACAGAACCACAGAAAGCTAGAGCTGAAAGAGACCCTTGAAAGATGATCAGCCTATTGAATTTCACTCACACACATAGGAAATGAATTGATATGTTCATTTGGGCAGAAATACTAGAAGGGATAATAGTAAACATACCTTAAGTACTACTATTTAACACACACTAATTGCTTTACATGTATTATCTCTTTAAATCCTTACATTAACACTATGATAACTACTGTTATCCCCATTTTACAGATGATTCAACTGAGGCTTAGAGAGGGTACTGATTTGCTTGAAGTTACACAACTAGGAAATGGCAGAGCATTGGATTTGAATCCAGACAGTTTAACTCTACAAGCAGCCTTAAACATTAAGTAACATACTTCAAATGTGTATGTCTAGGCACAAAAAGAGAGGTAATATGCACAAAACAAAAGGAGCTGTTTGAAGGAGATGAAATTTAACACATTCCCTTTTTTCCCCAAAACATTTTTTGCTAAAGATTTTTTATACCATACATGCAAGACAAGATAAAAATGTGGACGATCAAAAACTACCCCATTTGCTTCCATGATCTCTGTTCTCTGCAGCCTTCCCGAGTCGTTCGCTTCTAGATTTTGGGTAACATCCCCAACGTCACTCCCAAGCGTTCCTTCCCAGCCTGATGCCCAGAGCTGAGTCCTCCAAGTTCTCTTGGCCACTCAGCACCGCCCCCCACACCCCACCGCCCCCCAGCTCGCTGCAGGTGTTCACGGCCCTCTCCCTTCGCCTTGGGAAACTCCACATTCCAGAGAGGCCGACGCGACGCTGGGGTCTGGGAACCCGCAGGGAGGATGTCTCCACAGTGTTTACCAGGCCTCGACACTCCCCCGAGCCCGCCCCCAGCTCCGAAAAGCTTCCAGGAAATGTCCCGCTTATCACTCCCCCCTGGCTGGGGGCGGGAGCGGGCGGTGCCCTCCGCCCCGGCCCGGCTGTCCCCCGGCTCCGGCTGTCCCCAGGCTGTCCCCCAGCCCCGGCTGCCCCTCGGCTCCGGCTGTGCGCAGACGGCAGAGAGCTACGCCCGCCGAGCGCCCGAGGCCCCGCCAAGCGCCCGGGACCCCGCCCGCTGCGCCATGAGGGTCCCGCGGGGGCGCTGCGCCGCGCTGCTGGCGTGCCTCGCCCTCGTGCTTCCCGTCTCCGAGGGAAACTGTGAGTAGTCGTAGCATCTCTTCCCCTTTGCCCAGAGGCGCCGACTCGACCTAGAGCCCCGGCGGCGGGGTTCTCCTCCCGGAGCTGCAGCCCCCCGGGGAGTTGCTACCAGTCCCTGCCGCCTTGGCAGCAGGCCTGTCTGGCGGGCGGCGTGAAGGTGGGCACGTCGATGTTCGCCCTGCTCTGGGAACCCTGCGTTGCCTGCAGCACAGATTCAAGAACGCGGGTGACACTAAGTATCGGTGAAGGAATTAGGACGCCTCGCCATGTGCCCCCAAAGCCTGAAGTTCCCAGTCAGGACGGGGTGGGCGCATTCCAGCAGAGAGCCAGGAGGAAAAGGCAGCCCCTGTCTTCCCTTTGTGCGAGCGCCAGTCCCCGACCAGCACCCCCTGCTGCAACCGACCTCCGTTTTGCAATTTCTGGACTTTGAGCTTGGTTTGCTTATCTCAGAATTGACGAACGGGTTGTTTTAGGATGACTGCGGGCTTGCATAGTAGATCTCATTTTCTAACCTTGAAATCAAAAGGACTGTTAAATATTGTATTTCTCAGATTATTTTGTACTGAGGATTTTTGACACTGAGTGCCACTGATCTGTGGTCGTGGCATGCATTCTTTGAACTCTATATTTCCAGTTCTTTATGTTCCCATGCCTGGATTCAAGGCAGGATATTGAGTTTTCTCTGAAAAATGTATACGGGATATCAAGGCATTTAGTACATTTTAGTAGTCAGTTAATTCGCTTGTTTTCTAAAGTTGAAGCATGTTCATTGATTAAAAATGCTTACTTGTGCTATGTTTTATTCTCAGGAAATGGCATGGGGGAGATAAACTCTGAATTACAAATAACTTTTAAGCTGCCTAAAACTCCAATGTAAACTTTTCAAAGATGGTAATTTCAGGAGAATTAAATAGGAATTTACTAATATTCCACTAGTTTTTATTAATTACTGATCAGAATGAATGATCAGTATTTTAAAATTCTAATTTAAAGGCTAAAACATTATTTGTTGATCATATATTAAAGATCGTATGTTAAATAGCAGAACTTCAACATTCAACATTATCATTGTCTGTGTGGCCCACAGGCACGACCTCATTATCTGTATAGTTCATTAGGACAATCAAATGTTCACCTGGTAACCAGTGTATTGGAGAGGAGAAAGAGACAAAAGTGGCATGCCACACTTACTGCTTGTCATCCCAGGAATTTGCTAGGCCCTTTCTTTTTATGGAAATTTTCATTGAATCTAGACAGAGTTAGAAATTGTGTGTATGTGTGTCTGTGTGTATTATATACAGGTATTCAAACCATGTATAGAGAAAAATACACTTGTTATATATAGACACTGACAGAGTAGATAAATTAATTCTACAAGTATATCACATAAAGAATAATTGGCCCTATAATGCCTTCATTTAAAAAAGTATGATAGTTTAATTGGATTAAAAAGCATCTTGGTTTACTGATGAGGAAACTGAGATACAAATGGAATGTTGTTACTCTCTAACATTTTAAATTTGAGATAGAATTAGAACTCTAAACATTTGATTTATAATTTATTGTTTAGTCCATAGAAATATAGTTGCTATTTAAAGAAAAAGGTTTACAAATGACATTTTTAGTTTTGAGAGAGTTAGAAATCATCTTGTTCAACCTCTTCATTTTAACAATAAAGAAATTGTTCGGAGATGTTAACTGACTTTCTAGACATTATATATATATATATGTATATAAATGGAGAGAGAGAGAGAGATTTAAAATTTACACTGTCTACATATTTTATATCATTTCCCACTAAGGGCTGTGTTAAGAGAAATGGGACAAGGGGATGTCCACTTTGGCTGTGCTGTGGCCCCATCCAGACTTCTGCTTCTGGGTGGGTGCAGTCTACCCTCGACATTATTGACTCATATTTTCCTTCTCTTTTTTACTCTCTTCTTTCCTTCTATATTCCTTTCACTGTTTATCTTTGTCTTTTCTTAAATTCTCTTTATTTCAGAGTCCAAAATGTTGCACTGATGGAGAGATTTTATCAAGGTTAGGTTAGAATTGGGGTTGGTGCTGGAAAAGTTAGAGACAATTTCTGGTATATAACAACAACAAAAGCCTATGCCATATTTTCTTACCATTATTTCTATGCTAGGAAACACAGTAATGCTTTTCATAATAGGCCTTTTCTTTTTTTTTTTTT